AGAATACCTACCATAACTGAATTATACACAAAATTTAATTAAAGATACCTATAATAATGTATATTGTTCACAAATAAGGTTAGATACAAAACTTGTACAAAATAAAGAATTATTATTTCAACTCAAAATTAGTGTGTAAGATTTTCAACAAAATTTTAATTGATTCTTGCTCAAAAAAGGATACCTACCATAACTGAATTATACATAAATTTAATTAAAGAACCTATAGAAAATCTTGGACTACTACTTTCATTAAATATGTTTCCATCTATAACTCAAATTTTTAATGTTGTCTTAAAATTGCCAAGTGGCTTCATTTTAGCTTGCCACTTGGCTTAACCACATGCTTCACTACTCTCCTTTTAATATAATATAGATATAGATTATCAACTAATTGAAACAAACTAGTCTGATGTTTTTGGTTTAACTAGTCTTAGGGTACGCGCTTTGCGCGTCTATCCTATCAATGAATATATAATTTTAAAAGATTACATAGCTATTATTAAATTAATGTGTTCGAGTTATTGAAAAAAAATAAAGAAAAAGATATAAATTCCTAAAAGTAATGAATATTGATCCAATTTAGCTAGTTCACTAAATAAAGAATCCGCCTCACAAAAGTTCTTATATGACTTATTGTGATTTCATAGAGTTTATGTGAAAACTTTTTTATGAAAATTATTGTTATTTTTGTTACTTAATTTTTTTTGGCCAACTATTACTTAATATTGAAAACAAGTAACAAATTAAATTAATACTATAATATATAATTAATTTTTTTTATTTTCTTATTTCTTTCACAGCCAATACTCTTCATGCGAAAATAAATTTACGAACCTAAAGAGTTTTATAAACTTGAAAAAATAATTTTACTCACATGATGATCTCGAAAAAGAATTGAGTTGAATTCTTTTGCTAATTATTTATTTTCAATATTAAAAATAATTTATTTATTTTTGTGTTGGGGATATAAAAAATATAGATATTTTTGAACGCCTTCCTACTCAAACAACATTTTCTTTTCATCGATTTTTGTAT